TTCCAGATATTCGCCTTTTCTGGTCAAATGATGAGCGATTTACTTTTCAAGTATTTCCTTAATGTGTTTTCAGTTATTTTTTCCCTGTGCTTTACGTATCATACTGTATTCAACAATTTTTCCATTTTCTTTATTTTTGTTTAGTTCTCTAAAGGACAGCTTGGTATCAAGTTTAAACCATTTTCAAAGGTATGACGACGTATTCACAAATATGTTTAGGCTTGCATAACTATCTATTCAAAGAATGCAATTTTTAGTGGGAGTTGGACCTCACAAGCGCACGTTTTAATTCTCTATCCCGTTTCTTACCTAAATATGGCTGTACAAATTATTTGTACTGAATGTCGTTTTTACACTCTCATTTAAAAAAATTTGCTTTGTTTCTAGTTCTATAGAAGTAGCACTTGTGACTTTTGTATAGAAACTCAAATATTTTTATGCTTTTACAGTACCCTCCATGTTACAAGGACATGAGTTTTTGGATCAACGATTCATTTACTGAGAACAACCTCTGCGAAGTTGTTAGAGGTATCGCTGGGGATCTTGTGGAGGAGGTATGTTCATTATTATTACATTATTATACCCTTTTCTTGTTAAAGCTTGGTAAGACAGCGATTCATTCACTGCTATGAAAAAACATGGCAGTGACAGTAATTGTATGACTTTTCAAGGCTTGGGACTGGCTATGAAATATATATAGGGCTGTAACATCATGTAAATAAAAAACAAACCTTTGAAGATAATTTGACAAAACGCTGACAAACTAGTGTAACTACTGCAAGGATGTTCAATGTGGACCGATTGCCATATAACTATTAGCAGGTTTATTCTTTAAATGTTTCTAGGACCACAAAACTTCCATTATGCTTATCCTCAGCAAGACTATGCCGACATGCTGAGTTTGCTGTAGAATTAGCTTGATTTTCGTTTCAAATTCAATTTCTAATTTGAGTACCATATGTTTTAGATGACATAATGAATTTGCAGCTTGGTAGTGATGATGATCTTGTAAATGTTGCACAATTTTTGAAGCCTTGAGGTTAACTTTTTTAACAGAAGAAAAGATAGATATGTCAGGTTTGCATTATTCGATGTTTACTTTTTTCTATTTCTGGTGCCTACTTACTGTGCTTAAGAGAAGAAAAGTGCACCTATGAAGTTAAGCAATGCATTGTGCTTTCACTTTTACTAGATCTAATTCATTAGAAAGGAGCCATATGGTAGAAGCTGCTAATTCAAATGTTCTGATTTGTATTAGCCAAAGTATACAATTTTGGAGTTTGTTGATATTCCTCATCTGCTAGTTAAAGTAAAAAATTCCTTTAGGGTGTGTTTGATTGCGAGCATGGAATTAGCATGACAAGAAAATAATTTCTAGGCAATTGATTTTAGGCAATTCAATTGCCTCGAAATTATTTGTATGAAAATTATTAATTAAATATGTTTAATTGATTTATTTTTCAACCTAGAAAATACTATATTTATCAATTTTTTATTAGTGGATAAATGAGAGAGAGGGGATAGATGAGAGAGAAAGAGAGTGAATTATCCAGAAAATAAAAATCACATCTCCCTAAAGAAAATATTTTCCTTGTTTTCAAGAAAGATATGGTCATGTGACCAAAAGTAGGAAAATATTTTTGGTGAAAAAAATTGTCAATGAAATAGCACAAAAGTAAGAACTTAGATGGAAAAAACACATTTTTCATGAAAAATATTGGCAATCAAACGCACCCTTAGAAATTTATTTAATTCACCAAATCATATCAATTTTCTTGGCAGGTGAAATTGATAGATAACTTCACCAACAAGAAAGGAATGACCAGTCATTGTTATAGGATAGCATATCGATCAATGGAGCGTTCTCTCACGGATGAGGAGATAAACGACTTGCAGGTAGACCACTACGGAAATATAGCAAATAAATTTCTTTACTATGTATTGTGTCTTTGCTTTTGTTCTAATATAAATGAAAATTCATTTATGATTTTGGTTGGCAGTGGAGGGTACGAGAACAAGTCGAGACCAAGTTGCTCGTTGTTCTTAGATGAATTTCTCTTGTACCGATTACAAGCATTGTTAATTTACACTTCTCATTTTCCAAGTTTCTGGGAGTTGTTACTCTTCTATGTAGGAATAATATTACAATCATGGTACATGTATACTGTAGTTGAAATCCAGGTTTATACTCTTCCATTTGGCTATATCTACATTATTGATTTTGACCACAATCATTACTGTACAGATTTCTTCCACATAGAAGATATCAAGGAAAGTATCAACGAGAATGTACATCCAGCATTATTCATAATATTATGTACTCTGTATATTTGCAAATTAAAAGTTCAAAAGAAACATAAGTGGATTAATGACAGGTTAAAAAGGGACGTTTCAATGGGAGGTTTTAAATCGAATGGTCAGATCAGACACCCATGTTGAAGATAAGAGGTATAGGTTTATAGGGTCAAAGAACAAAGGGTTTGGTCAAAATGATGGGTTTGTTTGTTTGTACGATCACAACACAAGTTGGGTCCTATTTCACCTGCTTTTCACAAGTGTACAATTACTCGTACTTCTGTTAAAATCTAAATTTTAATTGAAGTTCAAGTCAACAATTATATCAATCACATATTTTATGAAATTCACAATTTTTCAATCACATTTCATCGATTTTTATGAAAATTTATTGAAAATCTTATTTTAATCCTCACCAAGTAGGGCATAATTGTATTTCACATTGTCAAGTTTAAGCGAAGGAGTGACGATCACTTTATAATACCAAAAGTCAAGCTCGTGATGATCCTTAGAAGAGGCTATTTTGAGGCTGGATTATTGAGTATTACAAAGTGGTCGTCACTCCTTTGAAGTTGATTAGGCATTTTTTCTTACATGTCTGATTTTAAAGTGAGGTTTATATAAAGAGCAAGCACTCTTATTGATCGAGTAGATTGATGCATGAGGGCTACTAGTAGTAGATTTTTTGTTACGTGGACTCATCTAGCTGAGAATATGAGTTGTCGTAGCCATAAAATGTGGAAGGTTTGTAATGTAATGATACTAATTTTACCTCAAATCGCTAGACTAAGGTATAGTTTTCAAATTTATAACTAACTTGGCTCTATTTTTACAAGTCAGTTTTGAGGTTGAGTTATGCGGTTGTGCTCGTGGTTAAACGTGAGGTGAAGAGTGTACATTCGAGGGCACTTCAAATTTGAACAGGTTACTTTCAATAGAATTTTGATAATGGAATATGTAAAGTCAGTTAAGAACACGGATTTTTGGGACATTTATTTTGATAAAAGAGATAAAATGTAAGGATTAATCTACCTTCCCAGAAGAAATCATCCGAAATAGTTCCAGAAAGGTAAGTGACGGGGTTGATTGGATGACAGAGATGATTCGATTTTAAATTGTTCAATGATAAAATGTCACATGACATTATGCCCCCTGTTTGAGCCACATTTTCATTTTCATTTTCAACCTCACATTCTTTAATAGAATAATATTTTCATCACATCAATAACTTGTCATTTTTCAACCACATATTTCTCATCACATCACATCAAAAAATGCATTCTCTCCTAAAAAATGTGCATCAAACACACTCTTATGTAAATATTTATGTCAAGTATGATATACACGTAGCCTGATCCAAGTATGATGTACACGGAAGCTTGGTGTTTAAGGAGGTTCCTGATTCCATTGGGGAAATTGGGTCTTATGTGGTTTGTGTGAGGAATGCTAAGGCGGAATTGTATCATAAGAAGAC